CCTCCCCAGTGCCATTAGTACAGTGTCAGTGTTTTTTTTTTGCACTGATCACTGTATTGGTGTCACTGGGGATGTCAGTGACCCAAAGTCAGTCCCCCCCCCCCAGTGTCAGAATGTCCACCGCAGTCCCCGCAGTCCTGCCATAAGTCGCTGATCGCCGCCATTATTAGTATAAAAAAAACCCCTAAAAATCCCAGTATCTTTCCCGCCATTTGTAAACGCTATAACGTTCACGTAAACCAATTAATTTACACGATTTGGAGGGTTTTTTTTTTAGCAAAGACATGTCGCAGAATGCATTTTGGCAGAAATTTATGACGAAATTTGATTTTTAAATTTTTTTTACTGGACATGTTTTATAGCCAAAAGTCCAAAATATTGTTTTTTTTTTTTTTTCCTCAAAATTGTCAGCCTTTTTTTTTATAGCGCAAAAAATAAAAACCGCACAGGCGATCAAATACCACCGAAAGAAAGCTCAATTTGTGGGAAAAAAAGGATGTAAATTTCATTTATGTACCGTATTGCATGACCGCGCAATTGTCCGTTAAACTAGTGCAGCGCTGTATAGCAAACAAATGGCGTAAATTGCAGTATCTATACCATAGTTTGTAGACGCTATAACTTCACACAAAGCAATCAATATACACTTATTGGGATTTTTTTTACCAAAAACATGGAGCAGAATACATTTTGGCGTAAATTTATAACCAACTTTGAGTTTTACTATATATTTTTTTATAGCTGAAAGTAAAAAATATCGTTTTTCTTCAAAATTTTTCTTTTTTTTGTTTATAGCGTGAAAAATAAAAAGCGCACAGGTGATCAAATACCACCGAAAGAAAGCTCTATTTGTGTGAAAAACAGGACGTAAATTTTGTTTGGGTGCAGCATTGCATGACCGCGCAATTATCAGTTGAATTAGTGCAGCGCTGAGTAGCAAAAAGAGGCGTGGTCATTAAGGAGGGTAAATCCTCAGGGGGGCAAGTGGTTAAGGTCCGCCCTATAGCAGTTGTACTGGTACAGGGCGGTCCTCCTGTGTAAAATCGTGTGTATATATACTTGATTTTGCACTTCCGCCATATGGGCTCAGTGTGCCGCTGAGGGATCACTTCTGCTGTGAACATTCACAGCAGAAGCCGATCTGCGAGTATTGGTGAACGGATGTCCCGATCGTCAGGCAGGATATAGAACAGAGCTCTGCATATGTAAACAAGACAGAGCTCTGTTCTGACAGGGGGGGAGTGAAAGATCATGTGTCCCTGCAAAGCTGGGAACATGATCCTTCACTTCCCCTAATAAAAGGACCACCTTGTGTACACCAAGCACTTAGCTAGGCACACAGTTAACCCATTGATCACCCTAGATGTTTAAACACCTTTCCAGTCAGTGTCATTTGTACAGTGTGTGTGCATATTTTTAGCACTGATCACTGTATTAGTGTCACTGATTCCCACAAAGTGTCAGTTAGTGTAGAAATGTCCACTGAAATATTGCAGTCCCGCTATAAGTTGCTGATCGCTGCCGTTACTAGTATTAAAAAAATTAAATTAAAAAAATTTCCAGTATGTGTCCATAGTTTGTAGACGCTATAACTTTTGTACAATCTAATCACTATACGCTTATTGGGATTTTTTTTACCAAAACAAATTTATGAAGAAATTCATTTTTTTTGTTGTTGTTTATAACGCAAAAAGCAAAAAATGCAGAAGTGATAAAATGCCACCAAAAGAAAGCTGACACACTCCCTATGAATACTTGCATTTAGCACGAAACGCGTAAGGGTAAGAGCAGCACACCCCAGACATCACGCTGCTGCATGGGTCGGCGGCCATCTTTAAATACTACTCATGGTCAGTTGTATTTGTTTGCTTACATTTGTCTTATTTTGGATCAATAAATTCACGTTTAAAACGATATCACACCATCCTGGCTTTCTTTCTTGGGACCCTTGTCGAGTCCACCACCCGCAGAGCCACCAGGGAAGGCAGCTGAGAGGTGTTTATAGCCTATAAGCACATGATCCATAGGGGAGCCTGGACGGACAGATGTGCCCAGATGGTGACCCTGAGACGCCTTATCTACCCTTAAGATGACCTCACCTTGATATCTGCAGAGGATTACTATCTTCTACATGCATATTTGAATTATGCATCTGGTGAGTGTGTAATTCATACATTTGATCACCAGAAGACGCACGTTTTTGATCAGCACCCTGCTATTTCTAGAGACTTTTTGGCACTTTTTTTGACACATGATAGTCACTTAATTCATTTTGTATGTTGTCTATTATTTATATGCTTATCTGTGTATATTTAAATTATCTTGTTGCCCTTAGCGCTGCGCCCTTTTTCTTACATAAAAATATATCAGTTTCATTATGTACAGCGTGAAATGACCGCGTATTTGTCAGTTAAAGTAATGCAGCGCTCTTCCGAAGGTCAAGTGGTTAATGAAAATACAGTTTTACTGTTTCAAGATCTATTGTCTATAAAACTGAAGAATAAACTGGCAATGCGCCCCCTGCTGAAGTTTCTCAGAGAGAGAACAGAATATACTATAAACAGTGGAAATCCTAAGGAAGCCACGTGATGACCGTGGTGTAACACATAGAGCGCGTGCGCGGTGACGTATTTCCAGTAGAAGCGGAGACGCACTTCTGGTTCCTGTTTGACGCCATCTTGGTACACCCGAATTCCCTAGTACACCCATAGCACATGGGAACTGCTGTACTGTGAAGGAATACATGCGAGTGTCCATTTCATTTGGCGTTTGGTTAATAAAATGGTATTGCACTATGGAGGTCTTCTCTGTTTGCTCCTTCATACATGCCTGAGTCCGATTGTGTGGAAGGGTGTCTTGAGGTGCGCTGATGTTGGAGTGGAGTTCTATTGGAACCAGTGGAGCCAGATTGTGAGACACCTTCCAGTGTGGGATATCCAAAAAGTGTTGTGGCCCTGAGGGGTCGATGCTAGGAGGTGAGGAGGCACTCTAGCCACTGTGGGATACGTTACACTAGAGTGTCACCAAGAGCACATACCAAGTGTGGAATGAAGAAGATTGAAGCACTTTATATTTGATTGAGCACAGTTGTTATTTGCACAGAACTTTATTTATATTTAGTAGATTTTTTTACATTCATTTGATTATATTGTATTTGAGCACTGATCACTTTATAATCCAAGTGTGGATATCACTTACATTTACACTACATTGTCCTGGTGAGTCTATGTGGTTGGCAGACCAGGCATTTGGTTGTACACAGTTTATTGTGGGTTTGCCAATTGAGCACGTGTCACTTATATAACAATTGTTGGAGTCACTTATGTATGTTATTTTTTATCTTCACTGTATAATAATTTATTTATATAATATTTATTGAGTATTATTATCAATTATGAATGTGGATTTTGGTTTTTTAATATTTTGCACAACTTATTTATTTTTATCGAATTGTGCTTGTTTAGCGCTTCACCATTTATTGGTTTACTTTGTTATATCCTGAGGTATAAGGAATTAGGTGATAGCAGCTGGCATATTTTATAATTTTTTCGAGTTTCACCTGTAGATATCGCTAGGCTAAGTTGACCTAGCTAGCTTGTGCTTTATAACTGAAATACAAATGTTACTTGTTTAGTATTAGCGGGTTTTTCATAAAATTTTCTACTGGGGTTGCAGGTACTCCCCATGACCATTGGCAGATTTCTGTGGTTCTCATGTCTTAAGTTGGTATTTTGCTTACGTTTCAGTGAACTTCTCCCACCTTCCCCACACATGGCTTTGATGCTACAAATACTGCTTTCTTTTAATTAGTCCACGCTTACTACCTGTAACCTAAAGTCTTAGAGGTTCTATGGGAGCTTTTCCCCTTTAGTGGTACAGAAGTACCAATCTGAACGGCTTTTTCCTACACATCCCTAACTCTGCTTTTCTCCCTTTCCACACTTTTCCTTTCCCTTCCTCTACTGTTTCCTTCTTGTCTTCCCTACATCTCTAGTCTCTTTCACTGATTTCATTGCAGGATTACAAATCCAACAATAAGACTTTATACGATGGCCTACTCATCTCTAGGACATAGTCCTACCTTAATCTCTCATGATGTTAAGGGTTTGAATATCCCCAAGAAGCATACACAGCTTTTAAGGGAACTCAAAAAAGTCAGACCATTGTTTGTATTTCAACAAGAAACACATTTCAAGATGAAGTCTGTCCCTAACTTAACTGCTACCTAATTTCCTAAAGCATATCATGCGGCCAACCCTTTAGTCAAGACCAAGGGAGTCTCTATTTTGATTGGGAAATCAGCAGGATTTGAGGTCACTCACCAACTTGTAGACTCCCAAAGGGAGATGCCTTTTCCTCAAGGGCAATTTAAAGGGCATTTCAATCACTTTGGCAAATAAATACTTTCTGAACACTACCCATCTATGTCATCATTTATACTTGAACCCAAAAAAGATTTACTGTTTAACCATTTCAATACCGGGCAATTTTACCCCTTCCTGCCCAGGCCAGTTTTCACGTTTCAGCGCTCTCACACTTTGAATGACAATTGCGCGGTCATACAACATTGTACCCAAACTAAAATTTTATAATTTTCTTCACACAACTAGAGCTTTCTTTTGGTGGTATTTAAGCACCAAAGGGGTTTTTATTTTTTGCTAAATTAACAAAAAAAGACCAAAAATTTTGAAAAAAAAACACGTTTTTTCTTTGTTTCTGTTATAAAAGTTTACAAATAAATAATTGTTCTTCATAAATTTAGTCCGAGATGTATTCTGCTACATGTCTTTGGTGAAAATAACCCAAATTAGGATGTATTATTTAGTTTGTAGGAAAGTTATAGAGTTCACAAACTATGGTATAGATCTGAATATTGATCAATCCTGAAGTACTGACAGCCAATCTAATTTCTTGAGGTCCAAGAATGTCAGAACAGTACAGATATCCCCCAAATGTCAGGACGGTACAGATATCCCCAAATGTCAGTACAGTACAGATATCCCCAAATGTCAGGACAGTACAGATATCCCCCAAATGTCAGGACAGTACAGATATCCCCCAAATGTCAGGACAGTACAGATATCCCCCAAATGTCAGGACAGTACAGATATCCCCAAATGTCAGGACAGTACAGATATCCCCAAATGTCAGGACAGTACAGATATCCCCCAAATGTCAGGACAGTACAGATATCCCCCCAAATGTCAGGACAGTACAGATATCCCCCAAATGTCAGACAGTACAGATATCCCCCAAATGTCAGAACAGTACAGATATCCCCCAAATGTCAGAACAGTACAGATATCCCCCAGGACGGTAATGATATCCCCCAAATGTCAGACAGTACAGATATCCCCCAAATGTCAGAACAGTACAGATATCCCCCACATGACCCCCTTTTTGCAGAGTAGACAGTCCAACATAAGAGGAATGGCGAGTTTTTTGAAGTTGTATTTTTTTTGTCATAATTTTTCGGAAAATGAAAAAATTATAAAAAAAAATATTTTCACTATTTTTTTTTTTACATACTGTCACCAGTGCAGTACAGCGTCATCATATAACTGGCATGGCGGTGAACAGGGACACTGACTGGTGACAGTATGAAAAAAAAAAATATATATATATATATATTTATTTTATTTTTTTTTTACTATTTTTAATTTTTTTATTACATTTTGGTTTATTTTTTTTAAGATTTTTGTTTCATATTTTACTATGACCAAAGTAGTACAATGTTACCATAGTAACATTGTACTACTTTGGGGAAGTGATCAGTATTTATTTATTTTTTTTTTTTACACAATTTGCTTATAGCAAAGAATTACTTTGCTATAAGCAAGCATTTACCTGAATGACATCGATTCATTCAGGGTTTTTTTTTTTTTTTTGTGCTTAGCTGTGATTTGGCCACAGCTAATCACATGACATGTGCATGTGACCTGCTGTGACCATTCACAGCTAGGCACTAGTATACAATGGATGGCATGAATGAAGCCATCCATTGTATACAACTGTCATGTGACCTGTTGTGATTGATCACAGCAGGTCACATGGTACCTGGCAACAGGGTCGGTACTCAGATCTGTCATTGGCAGTGTCCGAGGTACACGGCTGGTGACAGATCACGCCGCTGCGTGGCTCTGCAACCGCGCGAACTGTGCATGTGCGGAATGCGTGTACACCCCGGAAAGCTACAGCAATTTTGCGGCCGCCAAACGGCTATAGGCCGGGCGGCTAATGGTTAATACAAAAAAATGTTAATGATACATAGGGCTTTAACTGAATGCATTTCCTCCATATAGGGCTTATGTCTACTTTAAACAGTCCCAAACTAAAAAGTATTTGTACTAAAATAGTGGCTCTAAAAACTAATGATTTGATTTGTAAAGTGTATACTATAAAAAAAAAGCAATATTATTTTACCCATATATAAATATGTAAAATAAAAATTAGACATCAGGTACACATCAGGTAAATGTTGATATCAAAAGAATGGACTTCATGAAGACTATGTATTTCTTTTGGATGAAGTAGACAAGAATTTGGCAATGAAAGCCAAGTTGTGTTTAGAAGTCTTGGGTGGGACAGAATTTTTTTGATAAATAAAAACATCCGAGATTTTAATCTAGTCTAAACTCATTGCTTTCTATTTACTTTAGCAATGGAATGTTCCTCAGTCATAATATGTCATTTATTTTTTGTTAAGTTGGTCAAATAGAATTAAAGATTATTCTGTTTAAAACATTTAGAAATAAATATTTTATTCTATATTTGCTATTAAAAATATATATGAAGCCTTTGCCCGAATATGTGTCAAATCTGCACAAAAGTAATCATATCCCAATACATTTTCATTAGGTTTTAATTTAGTCTATAAAAAAATAAACCAAAAAATAATCAGTTACACCAAATATATGTAGCACTACCTCCTTAGGAGTTGCTGAGTATTTGGGGCCCCCTATAGTCCTGCACAGCCAGGCAAAATGCATTTTCACATAGACTTGCATCCAGGAGTCAGTAACCAGTCCTTGATCTTGTTTTGAAGTTTTATTAGGGGATAATAAACTCAGATGGTGTAAGGGGTGTACGGGATGCCCAATGAAACTGGAACTTTGGACAAACTTCCTGAAACTATTTACAAGTCTGTACTACAAAAAAAAAATCTTCTTCTGGAGAGCTAGCCAGCCTTTCTTGATATAACACCCCAGACTAATGAAACAGTACCGTATAGCAGCTAATCCAGTTTCCCAGCAGAGTGCTCCTTCCCATATGTGGCCCAGGGGTGCAGGTCTACTCATTCAGTCCCTCTCTCTGTGTTGCTGGTGGGTTGGTGGCTGCTACCAGGCCTTCTGGGTGGGCTGCTCCTTCCCTGCCACACAGGTGTTCCTCTCTCAGGGAGTCGGTGAAGTCCCAAGATTTCTTCTTTCCAAGGTCCTCTGCCTGCAGGTGAGTCCCTCTCCATCTGGGCCCCCTCACAGGTTCCTGCCTCTCTTCCTCTCTAACATCTTCCACTCTCCCTCTCCAAGCAGGCTCAGTTACTCTTATAGGTTGTCCTGGCCCCTTGCCAAGCCTCCTGTTGGGGATTGGCCAGGATCCTCTAAGAGTACAAGCCAGCTACTCCTCAGATCCACCCACTGCTTCTGGACCTTTCTCCAAAGTAGTGGGAAATTCCAGAGGGTTGGTCTGCAGAGCCTCTCAGCTCTGACCAAATTTTGATCCCTGCTAGCTATCATACCCAGGTTGCTACTCAGACCTAGCTAACAAGTAGAGTCTAGCTCCCCCTAACTAACTAGGAGAGTGCTACATACAGTATGTTACAACTTAAAGTGGTTGTAGGCATAATTTCCTAAAATAATAGGCCTGCTATACTTACCTGCTCTGTGCAATACTATTGCTGTCCACTACCCTGAGAGTCCCCAAAGTATGCAGTGTGCTGTGGGGGCACCCGTACAGGTGTGCTCCTGAGCCAGGCTGTGTGTTTCTATAGACATACACAGTGCGGCTTAGCACCGCCCCTCACTCTGTCCAAACAGCCTTCAAGTAAATCAAACTACTTGTTGGTACATACCAGAGTCTCATTGAGAGCTACAGCAATTTGTTTGCAGTGTTAGCAACAACAACTTGTTGCAACTCAGTTGCTGTTTAGCTGTAACCCTCCCCCCCCCCCGGAACTTTTTTTTTGGGGGGGAATTTCAATAGGGTTTTTTTCATATTTCTTTTTTACTTTCAATTAGGTTTATAAATGTTTAGGTTTAGTGTTTTAGTATATTTTATTTTAATATACTGTACATAGTTTAGCTGGCTTCTTTTTTATTTCAAGGTCAGTAGTGTGAACTTGTTTCTGATAAAGGCAAAGCTGCCTTTTGTTTGCCCATCACCACATACTTGAGCAGTTTAGTGCACCAAATCATCATATAGTTAAGTGCATCAAAGCACCACATGTCCAAGTCCCCTATTGCCACAGCTGCAAATAAAGTTAGACAACCCCATGTATTGAAAATGTCAGACAGACATAAAGGGAAAAGCAGAGTTTCTACCTTTATTTCACAATATTAACCTCCTCGGCGGTATGATTATTTCCGATTTTTTGGTGCTGAAAGCGGTACCATTTTTTTTTGCATGGAAATATGTAGTTTTTTTATTGTAGGCTGTAATTTTTAGGAATAACTCCCTGAAATCTGTCCGAACAAGAGTCTAGTAAACATCCCGGATATGATAAAACGTGAAAAACGAAATCATAAATTATAATTTAATAAATAATCATAAAAAATAATAATATAATAATAATATAATTTAATTCAATAATATAATCAAACCAAAAACACTGAAATGTGAAATATAGCGCCAAGTTCGCACATCGCTGAGCAAAGTCGCAGAATCGTTTTCAGTGTCTGATGAGGAATTTCCCCCACGAAATCATTATCACTCAATTCTGCAAGTGGTTCTGATTTACTATCGCTGTTCTCTAGCCGGTCTAAAACCGCTTTTGACGTAAAGGGACGCTTTTTGGACACCGTGGACTTTTCTCAGTTTCCAGGCAGAAAGAACAGTCAAAATGCAGGCAGGGCGCCGGACAAAGCACTCGGGACAAAATGTATGTGAAATGGGTTGATACAGCAATGTTTTACTATGTAATAATCATTTTAAAAAAAATGAAATTTTTTAAAAATTTCAAATTTGCTGCCGGTTCCGGCGCCTGTACATCCCGACGTCACAGGGATCGGAACACAGAAGCCGGATGCCGGCATCGGCCGGAGGAGGATGGCCGGGGACGCTGCAGGGGACACATCGTGGGAGCGAAGGACAAGGTAAGTGCTGCAGGGAATCCCTGAGCAACGCCGCATGGTAAGCCCGAGTGTAGCTCGGGGGGGGTTACCGCTTTTGGTGCTGGAACTTTACCCCGAGCTACACTCGGGAATACCGCCAGGGGGGTTAACCTGCTTGGTCTCTACTGAAACAACTTACTCAGTTTTCCTCAGGCCTATACAATATGTCTTGGTTTATAGCATCCAACACAGTACCCAGATGAAATTTGTAGCATTTTCTTCACACAAATAGAGCTTTCTTTTGGTGGTATTTAACCACTTGCCCTCCAGAGGATTTACCCCCCTTCCTGACCAGGCCATTTTTTGCTGTTCAGCACTGCGCTATTTCAACTGGTAATTGCGTGGTCGTGCCATGCTGCACCCAAATGAAATTTGTGGGGGGGTTTTTCACACAAATAGAGCTTTCTTTTGGTAGTATTTGATCACCTCTGCGGTTTTTATTTTTTGCGCTAAAAACAAAAAAAAAAAAAGACCAACAATTTTGAAATAAAAAAAACAATACTTTTCACTTTCGGTTATAAAAAATATCCAATAAACTCAAACTTAGTCATAAATTTAGGCTAAAATGTATTCTGCTACATGTCTTTGGTAAAACAAATTGCAATACACACTCGTATATTCATTGGTTTGTATGAAAGTTATAACGTCTACAAACTATGGTATACATATTGGAGTTTACGTAGCTTTTACTTTCTCACTGCCTATCACATTTCTTGAGGTGCTAAAATGCCAGGGCAGTACAACACGCCCCTCCAATGACCCCTTTTTGGAAAGTAGACACCCCAAGGATTTTTGCAGAGAGGCATGTTGAGTCCATGAAACATTTTATTTTTTGCCACAATCTTTTTGAATATGACAATTTTATTTATTTTATTTTTCTTACACAAAGTTGTCACTTTGATGATATGCTCATGCATGCCATGGGTATATGTGGAATATTATTATTATATTATTATTATACAGTATTTATATAGCACCAAAGGGTTTGCTCAGCGCTGTACAATAGCAAGGGGGACAGAACATGAGTGTCAGGAATGGACTGGCCAGCAATAGTGGGACTCACCTGCCTTGTGAGCTGCAGTACCAGGGCTGGCCAGCGGGTGCTCCCAGCAATCAGAGACTCAACCTTGCAGCCAGTCAAA